TCTTTTAAAGAATTGCGATTCATTAATTGATAGATTTTGGTTTTGACACGGCAGACCTGCCCCCTACAAACTCAGAAACAATAACCTTTAAAGTCTAATCCCTAAAAATTATAAATCCAAACCACGTAAAAGAGCGAATGCTATTAATAGTACATACCAGATTTTACTTTCCTAGTTGGCTGTTACAGGAAAGGGTGTGTACTTTCATCTGAGCAATTTAGTGTCAACATTATTTAATGTATTTGACCTGATCTTAATTACTGTTTAATGTTGTCCGTCAGTGTGGTAGTCAGTGTGGTGTCTTTTTTATTGTTGTTGGGTTTTTTTCCCATTCTGTATCACTTCATGTTAGTCATTCCATGTTCTTCAGAATTCTGCATACTCACAATTCCTTAGAACACTAAGCCCATTCAATTCATATTCCTCAGTTTCACAGTCATTCTCCAATCATGGGCTACATAGTTTGTTTTAAACTTTTTTGCTGTCACAAATTGTGTTGCTATGACTTTTTGTACAGGTAAGTCTTTTCTTTCTGTCCTCAGTCAAAAACAACTAAGTGCTTATTGTGGACCATGTACTTTGGTGATCCAAAGACAGTATTAGAACATTTGATTGTTTAACATCTTTGGGGTATAAATCTAATAGTAGGATCCATGGTTCGAAGGCCATGAACAATTTAATAGTAAATGTCTATTTTGAGAAAGCAGTATTTCCAATTATTAACAATTTCTTCTTCTTCTGGCAAGAAAATGAGCTACTTAAAGTCTTATGTCATGGATACTTCCTTAAAAAAAAAAGGTGGAGAACTCAGAAACTATAAAAGTATGCTTAAACATATCCTACATTTCATAGGTATTTTGTGTTTTCTGCAGGCAGTACTGCTAAATGTTACGTGCCACGAATGCTGTTCAGTAGCAACTAATCAAGGGTCCCTTGAAGGTTAGAGACTTACTTTTATGAGCTTTATCTCTTAATTAATTGGTATTTAGAAACTTTTCCCTTGGGTCTTGTTCTTGGGTAAAGTGGACCAGATTCAGTATTTGTAATATTTTTGAAACACTGAAGACCCAAAAAAGCCAAATCTGACATTTTCTACTCCTAACCCAGATGTGGTTTCCCATTCTGTGTAATCACTGTCTGAAACTGAGAGAGAATTTATCTAGTGCTGAGGAGGTCAATCAATAAGAATTTACATCCTGAAAGAAAATGAGTAGCAAATGTGTGGGTTTCCATGGAAAATACAAATGTAAGATTTGGATGCCATTTTGGGATTACAGCTAATCCCATCCTGCTTAGACTATAGTAGTACCTAGTAAATACTTGTCAACTGATTGACTGATTGATTTCAATGGTGGGGCTCATCCAGATTGTGAAGTTTACTTCCAGTGTACGATTATTTTTTGTAATTAAGAGCAGGCCTGCTGAGTGGTGGACTGTGCCAATATAGAAACCTTACTTTTTTTTTTCCTGGGGGGCAAGCAGAATGTCTATGACACTTACATCAGGCACCTTCTGCTCTGAATCTTTCCTTGTTGCTTGTCCAATCTTACCTTTTTTTTTTTTTTTTGGAAACTTTCATGCCTCTTGATTGTATAGCTAGGTTTTTCCCAATTCATCCCTAGCAGCTCCCTGCCCGTAGAAATAGGAAACTAATCAGACATACCTGAGTTAGAACCCTCCCCTTTTTCAATAAAACCCCTGACTGCCTTATTACCAGCTGAGTTACTGATATGCTCTGATCCAGAGAGGATGAAGGATCCAGATGTATTATATATATATATATATATATATTCTAGGAGGAATCACTGAAAATCAGCAGATGGTTGTGCCAAGATAGAAAGTCAGAGGGTGATCTCTTGAGGATGTAGGGATTTCCCCTCTCTTCTTCTTCCTTCTTTTCCCCTTGGCCCCTATCCTTTTCCTTCTGCCAGGGCTCTGAAGTTCTCCCTGGTTGTGCTGTTCCCCTTCCAAATCTTAACCTGAGGTGTTTTAATTTGGGACTAGGATTTTTCCTTGTATGAACTACATGTACCATATTAAAGGATCTTTTTACTTTACTGGCCTATTTGACTCTTGTGAAAATGAATGAATGAATGAATGAATGATAGAACAGCTATTAAGTGCTTTCCCCCAAATGCCAGGATAAATTGGTATAGGGACTCTCTTTCTCTGTGTTTACATATATAAACACACACATACATTATATATACACACATACACACATACATATACACATATATGTATGTATATATGTGTATGTATATATGTGTGTGCATACATATTTACGTGTATGCATATATATTACACACACATACTTTTACACATATATTTTATTTAGACATCATTGAGTTTTACCAACTTTTGTGGCCTCTTCCTACACTCTATACTTTTCTAAGATTTCTAGAAAATTCTTTGTCAATATATAATTTTATGACTTGGAAACTTTGTAGTCTAATGAAACTACATATTCAAATAATCTCTATAAGAGTATGTTTCAAGGTATAAAACTGATCTTTTGGTATCCTTAAGACACTCAGTTATTTCTTTATATACCTTATGTAGCTTGTGCCAAAAAGATCTCATCACTTAAGTTGATATCACTGTTCAATTAATTTTATTTACAATGAAAAAAATAATATTTTATTTCCCCCCCAATTACTTGTAAAAAACAGTTTTTAACATTCTTTTTAAAAAAAGAAATTAGAGTTCCAAAATCTATCCTGTCCTCCCTTCTCTCCCCCCCCGCCCTGAGGTGATAAACAATCTGATGTAGGTTATACATGTGCAATCATGTAAAACATGTTCAATTAACTTTAAAAAATCTAATTTATTAATTCTTAGAATACGTTTAGTTTTGATACGAGACACTTCTTTCTCATTCAACACTCAGACAAACCTTCCCACAAAATAGGTTTCTTGAACACATTTATGGAGAACCACCTAATAGAATGAATGTGACTATATACCACGTTAATAGTTTAATTATTATTGATGGAGGAGAATGTGTTTTGATTTCGATAGTCTGCCACCAACATTGTCCATTGTATTTGAGCAGGGTTGTTGCCTCTCTGCATTGTTTTTATTCACATTGAATTTATTATTCTGTTGGCTCTTGTTTCTTCACTCTGTTTCATCACTTCCTGTATGTCTTCTGATGTTTCTTTGATCTTCTTATTTACCCTTTTCCTGACGTTAATCTTCCATGTCATTCAGCCACTCCCCAGCTGGTGGGCATATATATTTTGTTTCCAGAATTTTTCTGTCACAGATAGCATTGCTATGGATGATTCTACATGTGTAGGACTTTCCTTATTGTCATTATCTCCATTTGGTCATCCCAGGATCCAGGTGAGCTATTGATTATCATTATTTAAAAAAATCTACTCCCTGGAGGCAGGTAGGTGGCTCAGTGGATTGAGCATGGGCCCTGGAGTCAGGAGGACCTGTGTTCAAATGTGGCCTCAGACACATAACACTCACTAACTTGCATGACTCTGGGCAAGTCACTTAACCCCAATTGCCTCACCAAAAAAAAAAAAAATCTACTCCCATACCTGTTTGGCCCCCTCAGAACTGCTCTGCTTGGTCTGGAGTTTTTTTCCTTGTGTTTTTATTTTATTTCGTTATTCTAGCTTTGTTCTAAAACCTAGTGTGCAAACTATTTCAACGACTCCTGTGGCTCTTGGTGGGTCACTGTTTGGTGCAAATCTGGATGGGGAGGGGCTGCCCCAACATCTAGATAGTCAGCCCATTGATGATCCAGGTGACATTGTTGTGGTCTGAGAGGCTGAGACCCCTCAAAGTACAGGATGGGGTCCTCTGGAATGAATTTACAGACTCAAGCATTCTTTAAGTCAAGCTGGCAAAAAGTTTATGGTGGCACTTTTCAGAGGGCAAGGATTCTTAAGGAACCTGCGATCTTAGAGGGGTACAGTTAAAGTTTGTATAGGATAAAATATAATAAAACATGTGTCAAATATGCTAACTAGGTGATTCAGGGCAGGATCAGGGAGTGGTTAAGGAGTGGTCAGTTCTTAAAGGAACATGCACTTTTTGTATCTATTGTGCTGGTGGTTTACCCAGAGTTCACTAGGAAAAGCCCACAAGAGGGGCCACATGGAGGTGTGGTTTTAGGCCTGCTATGTCACTAAGTTAACTAGAGTTCAGGGGTTACTGAGAGTTGTACAGTCTGCCACCAGTCAATGTCTTGTTTGACAAGATAGATGTAGGGAGTATACATATGTCATAGGTCTAGAATATAGATAAAGAGGAGTCCAGGACGTAGATAATGAGGTAGGGCAGTAGTATAGATAGTCCAGTGGGTAAGAATATCTTTATGACCCAGAGCAAAGCCTGTTCAAACTAATAATTCCTTCAGATGCTGATTGTAACTGCTCAAGGGAGAGAGAGAAGGGTCTTGCTGGGGCCCACTCATGAGTAATTGCTAGGCACAGTATCCTTGGGACTGAGGAGAAACTTCCAGGGATAGTGTTTCTGAGGCTAGGGAGAAACATGGTCATGGAATTGGGGTTCCAGTACAAGCACTCAAGCATTCCATCAACATGATCTCTTTCAGCAAACCAATCATTAGTGGAATCTCTAGATGAGAGAATATGAACTGTTTTGTATCTTTTCTTTCACAATTGTAAATGTTTATCAGACTGGTTATATCGCCTCGTATAAACTGGTTATATTAACTCATATTAACTACCAGCATGCTTGTCTTTCTACAGGTAACTTTGCACAATGAATTAGTTGAATACTGTTAGTTTTCATCTGGTTTAACAACCACTTCCCAGTTAACAGCAACCAGTTAGTGCTGTTTATTTTAAATGTTGTAGGAAACTATAAATGCTTAGGTTTCAGTGGTTTGGCCTTGGCATTTTAATTGGTATTGATGTGGTTCAAGATATTTTAGGACTTTTTACCTTTCTGATCATTGATACCGACTTGCATTTTTACTCCCATAGAATGAGACTGATAGTTATTTTTCTCTTTAGTCTCAGAAGTCCTGGATTGAAGGAGTCTTCGAAAAAAGGGAATGTGCCCGAATTATACCCAGCTGTAAAGATCCTCACAGGTATAATGTTTAATGTATAATTTTTACATGTTGGTAACCCAAACATACTATTTAGGACATTGAAAAGCAAATATGGAGACTCATTTAAGACCTTAATTGTGTTTGTTTTGAGAAATATTCTCAGAAATATTTCTGGAGAATTTAGCCAGGGGGGAAAATATTTGGAGTTTTATGTTAAGTCATCCTCTAAAGAAGGTGCATTTTATCTTTCCTTAAAGACTGACCCAAAGAAAATAGATTGAATCTCCTCTGCATATTTTTCTTCTGGCTGCTAAAATCTTTGTTCCTACCTTAACTCTACTTTTCTCCCTTAATAATCAGATGTTATCTCTATTATTGTGGCACCTAGGTGACACAGTGGATAGCGCACAGGGTCTGGAGTCAGGAATACCAGAATTCAAATGTGACCTTAGACATGTACTAGCTGTGTGACCTTGGGCAAGTCACTTAATCTTGTTTGCCTCAGTTTCCACATCTGTAAAATAAGCTGAAGAAGGAAATGACAAACCACTCTAGTGTCTTTGCCAAGAAAACCCCAAATTGGGGGAGGGGTCATAAAGAGTTAGACACAACTGAAACAAGTGAACAACTAATCTCTACTATTCTTCAAATCTTATCTTCATCCTCATTTTTTTTAACGGAGAAAAACCCTGAATCTTATGTCAAAACATTCCAGAGAATATTTGAGATGGTAAGGGCAACACAGAGAAGTCGAGTTTACTCTATAAAATGTTGCCCATGCTTTGCTTGATGGAGAGAAAAATCCAGAGATCGGGTCAAAGAAAAATATGGGTGTGTGTGTATGTGTGTGATGGGCCAGGAGGGACAAAGAATTACAACTTCTCTGAACTGGCAAATACTGTACCTTTTTGTTAATTAGTGTTATCATAATTGCTCACTTTTTAATTTTCTTTTCTTTTTTTTTGCCAGGCAATGGGGTTAAGTTACTTGCCCAGGGTCACACAGCTAGTAAGTGTCAAGTGTCTAGTCTGAGGCTGGATTTGAACTCAGGTTCTCCTGACTCCAGGGCCAATGCTCTATCCACTGAGCCACCTAGCTGCCCCTTAATTTTCTAAAATGAAAATACATTCAAAGACTTATTGCCAAGTTTGTTCAATCACAGATGTATTATCTGTGTGAATGGCTGACATAACTAAAATGTACAGATAATCCCTGATAATCTTCATTTTCCTTTCAATTTCCTTTTCATAACTCTTTGAACAGAATAAGTGACTGATTTGTGCTTAATTTGGGTGATCCTCAGCTTTTAGAAGTGACAACTGGTAGTGGAATGAATAAATGTCAGTCAGTCAACAAGAATTTATTAAGTGCTCACTCTCTGCCAAGGAAGAAAGCAAAAACATCATCCTTGACCTCAGGCAGCTCATCCGCTAATGTGGGAGACAATGGACGAATAACTATGTACTACAAAATATAGACAGGGTAGAGGGAAGGTAATTTCAGAGGGAAGGCCCTGGGAAGGGGAACTGGGAAAGATTTCCTAAAGAAAGTGAGGTTTGATCTGAATCTTGAAGGAAGCCAGGAGGTGGAAGTGAGGAGAAAGGAATTCAAGCATGGGAAACAGTCACTGGGCAGCTGGGTGGTACAGTGGATAGAGCCCTGGGCTTGAAGTCAGGAAGACTCATCTTCCTGAGTTCAAATATGGCCTCATACACTTGCCAGCTGTGTGGACCTGGGCAAGTCACTTAACCCTATTTGCCTCCGTTTCCTCATCCGTAAAATGAGCTGGAGAAAGAAATGGCAAACCACTCTAGTGTCTTTGCCAAGAAAACCCCACATGGGGTTGCAGTTGAAAATGACTAAACAGCAGCAGTGTCAAACTCAAATAGACAGTCACTGTAAAGGCGTGGCATTGGGGGATGGCATGTCAACATCTAGGAGACTATGGGATTTGGACAGTCTACCCGGAATGTTGTTTCTTGAAAGATTGAGAAGAAACTTCATTTTTCTTAAAACAACAACAACAAAACAGTAGGTGGAGAGATTAGTCCAGTGTTTTGCCTATGCCTACCACTATATTTTTAGATTCATTTGGCTATTTGGGCATTGTTCTCTTTGAGTGTTCAATTGCTAAGGCTCATTGCAAATAGAGCTTTTTCTTATTTTCTTGAGTAGATAGCCGAGGGTGTCTTCTTAGTTACATATTTACTGGTCACACCCTAGCTGAGTTTTAACTCTGACAGGAAGTTCATTTTACTTGGCCTCTAAAAAAGTTTGCTGAATTCCTAGGTAACTCCTTCCACGTCCCAGTGGTTTATGGGATGCTTACAACTATGTAAATGTTGTGGTTCCTTCTCTTACAAAATGTGAGATTGCCATCATAGGACCTTGAACATATAAAAAAAGATTTAAGAAGATGTAAATTACCCATCTTCAGCCCTAACAGCTCAGAAAGCATTCTAATCATTTGCCTGCGTGGTTCAGTATAGGCTACAGTTTTTATGAAAAGGTGATTATTAACTTTTTACAATCCCACAAACACACAGACACAGACAAAAAACAAACAAACACTAACAAGAGTTGGACATTAAGAATATGGTTTGCTGGCCTGGAGTCAGGAAGACGTGAGTCCAAATGTGGCCTCAGATACTTATTAGCTGTGTGATCCAGGTCAAGCCACTTAACCCTTGTTTGCCTCAGTTTCCTCATTTGTAATGTTATACTACTACTAATGACGATGAAAATGATGATGATGATATAATAGTACATACTATTAGTAATAATAGTAGTACCTACCTCCCAGGATTGTTGTGAGGATCAAATGAAATAAAAATTGTAAGGCACTTAGCACAGTGCCTGACACATAATAAACACTATATAAGTGTTAGCTGTTATTTTTTGATATTAACTTTGACTTTTTCACCAAATCTATTCATACTTGATAATGAGGAGAAAATCTAAATAATTTCATTTTCATGGTCACCTATTCATTTCGTGGTCACCTATTCAAACCTCTTCATTTTGCAAATGAAGAAACTGAGACCCAGTGAGAGGAAGTGACTTAGCAAGGTGGTGGAGGAAATGTAGGAGAATGGGGGGGAGAGGGGAGATTTGAAACCAGATCCCATATCTTTTTACTGCACCAACCTGCCTCTCATCTTTATCCCTTCTTTTCTTTTTTATTTAACCCTTTGGTTGAGATTGAATGGAGAAATATCTAAAAAGTGAGGCAGTTATCCATGTACAACCTAGAGAAAGGTTTCTGAATAAACTGTGATCCCTTGTTTAAAATCTCTGGTGTCTGACATTTTTCTTGGCCACAGGTCTTTTTAATTAAGATTTCTTTCTTTAAACTTCTATTTGCAAGCTAATTAGAGTGAGCTGCAGGAGGGAACTTGTGGTCTTCAGTTGAGTTGTGGTACCATGTTGTCTTGTATTCTTATCCTTGGAAGATAGGTAATCAGTATTTGATAGTTATGTTGATACTATTAACTAGAGTATGAGATAAATTCTTCACACATCCCACAACAGAGAGTTCGCTGTGTATATATTCCTAAGAAAACAACATTTGTACCTATCTGAAAGCTTCATTGATCTTAAAATTTATGGATAAATTAATTAACAGCTGTTTTAATCTGTTCTTTTAGATGCACTGCAGAATGCCAAGTGTGCCAGAATTTAATAAGGTAATAAAATAAGGAAAAAAGAATCACCATGTGACTTGGGATAAGTCATTGTAGTAGACATTGGGATAAGTCCTCTGGTAATAAGTGTTTAGTGGGTAGCTAGGTGGCATCATAGTGCATAGGGTGCTAGGCCTGGCCTCAGGAAGACTTAGCATCCTGAGTTCAAATGTGACCTCAGATACTAGCTGTGTGACCCTGGGCAAGTTCCTTAACCCTGTTTGCCTCAGTTTCCTCCTCTGTAAAAATGAACTGGAGAAGGAAATGGCAAATCACTCCAGGATCTTTGCCAAGAAAACCCCAAATGGGGTCATAAAGAATTGAAAATGGGTGCAGGTAGGTGGCGCAGTGGATAGAGCACTGGCTTTGGAGTCAGGAGAACCTGAGTGCAAATCCAGCCTCAGATCAAACACTTGACACTTACTAGCTGTGTGACCCTGGGCAAGTCACTTAACCCTAATTGCCAAAAAAAAAAAAAAGAAAGAAAAGAAAAAGAGTTGAAAATGACTGAAAAACAACTAAATAACAACAAAAGTGTTTAACAAATAGTCCCTGGGTAAATGTAAAGTGGGCTTGCCTTGTGCATATTATCCTTCTTCCCCTACTTATGGAGTAGATAGCTTTTTTTTTTTTTTTTTTTTCTAAAGAAAGAGAGGCTATGGGAGTAAAGCCTAGCCAGGGTGAAGCATTGTTCTGATGAAGAATTAGTTAAGTATGAATGGCCAACAACAGCCTTCCTCGAGACCTACTCAAAAGATCAGATTTACAAAGTATTATTTAAAAAATCTGTTTGAACCATGAAGAATTTTTTTTTAGGCATAAAACTATTTTTGTTTCTAGCTGGAGAGAATGACAAACTTAAATTACACAGAGAAGAAAGAATGCTTACAAAGATTTCTGATGTTATTAGTAGCTTGTCTTCTTTTTAAATTAAAAAATTTTGTAATTTTTAAATTTTTTCAATTGGCAAAAATCAGCCTTCTCTCCTCCCTTCCCAATGGGAAAGGAAGAAAAACACCTCCCTTGTTACAAACCTACATATTTATTTAATTTTTTTTTTTGAGTTTTAAATTCTTCTATACTCACCATTCCTTCCCCCATCCATTGAGAAGGTAAACAACATACCCACTACACATGCAAAACATAGTTCCATGTTAGCTGAAAAACAAATTTCTGCATTGGCCATTGTCAAAAAGAGACTCATTCTGTACTCTTAGTTGTTCATCTCTATAATGAGGAAGGTGTTTTTTGGTTTGTATTTTTTGTTCAGTTGTGTCTGATCTCTGTGACCCAATTTTTTTTTTTTTGGCAAAGATACTGGAATGATTTGTCATTTCCTTCTCCAGCTCATTTTAC